TTTAAAAATTAATTTGGAAAAAGAAATTCACCACAGAATGTAAACACATTAATCACTGCTTTGGGACAGTTTATAATGAGCTGCTATATGTGTTACCCAACAAACTTATCACACTAATACCTGTGGAACTCATTTTAGGTTTTGGGTCATTGAATATTCAAAGAAAAATAACAGCCATTTATCAGATCCTAAGTTCATTGTGAATAAAACAGTCACACAGAAGCAAACAATTCCTTCAGAATAACAAAATATGCCATACAGCTTCACAGTAACTTTCCATTACAGCAGTGTGTGTTTGTGTGTGATGGTTGAGGTTGAAAATGAAAACTACAGACAAGAGTTTTGGCAAACGATTTCTGTTCGACATAAACCGGGAATCGACCACAGCTGAGAGAGATATCAGTAGCAGGACAGCTATCAACAGTCGAAATGCATCTCGAGAGCCTCTTCAAAACTCTGGTCCTCGTCGGCGCTGGACGTGAGGAAAGAGGCCATAGGGGAGCCTGCGGACAGACTGAGAACTCCTGCAGCGTTCGTGCCAGCGTTTCTGACAGATATACTGGTGAGGTTGATGCCGAGAGTGAGTCTGGTTTGCTCCAGGGCTTTTTCGGGCACGGCGAAAGCCTCCAGCTTCTTCTCCCCGTTGGCCATGTATGAGTTCTGGCAGCCCCTGCAGATGCAGTCCAAACAGGCCTTACGGTTGGAGTAGCAGGGGCATCTTTGACCTCTGCAGGTAAGAACACTTGGGTTCTGGGTGGCTCGTCCACACTTGCAGCCTTTTTTCTCTTGCGTCTTTTTGTACACGACTTTAGGGGGCTGTCCTGCTAAAATGCTAGCTGACAGCAGCCTGTCCTTTGCCTTGCCCTTTGCCTTCGGGACAGCCACTTTTGACTTCGCCTGAACTTTCTTATTACCTAGGTCTGTGTTTATCTGGATATTTTTAGTTGAACCCAGCACAGCCTTATTAACCTTCAAAACGCCTCCGTTTGTGACCACGACAGCAGGTGGGGATGGCGCTTTCGGTTCAAATGCTGTTTTAGGCGGAGGTGTGGCTGCTACCGATGGCCCCTGGATGAGGCTGGTGATGGGCAGAGGTTGGAGCGTCTCACTGTCGCTTTCAGAGCGAGAGCGCTTTCGGCTCAGATGCACTTTTCTATGGGCTGTGGCGAGGCACGTCAGGCCCGTCTGAGGTTGCGGTGGGTGTCCTGGCGCAAGGGCGCCGCTGGTTTGGGACTGTAATGAGTTCTGACACGGCTCTGGTGTTGATTTAGTCTGTCCGCATGATATCTCCTTGCTCGCAATGTCAGATTTAAGGTTCTTCAGGATGCTTGTGCTCTCCGTACTGAGTTGCACCGATTCGGCACTTGTCTCTTGACTAACTTTGCACTTTGCGTTAACAGTGACAGTACCCATGTGTAGTGCCGAGTCAGATTTCAGAGGTCCGTCAGCCCTGACAGGCTCAAGGGTCTCTAGTTCAGCTGGGATCTGCTCAGAGGGTTTATCGGAGTCAGTCAGGATCACATCATTAGAGTTTTGTGAGGAGTCAGTCTCTGTTTTGAGATGAAGAACATCCAAAGTGTCTTTGACAGGACTGAGGTCTTCTTGTTCCTGACTCACCCCCAACACCTCCTCCAGCATCTTCTTGACCTCAGGGTAACCCTTGACCCCCGAGGCACTCTGCTCTGCTGTGACGCACACTGAGACACACTCGCAGAGATTCCTGTAGCAGTCGATCAGAATCTGGAGCTGTTTATTCTCCTCAAACTGCTCATAGTCTTTACACCAGCTGCAGGATGGCTTCAATAACATTTTCTTGCCTTTACAACCCTTGCAAACATAGTGCTGGCAGGAGGAATTTTTTGGAGCAACTGGATCCTGAAGCAAATTCCCTAGATAGAAAGCAAACTACAGATGAATTTAAAGCAATTAAGCATAGCAAAGTAACATCTTACTATATTTTGTTCTATAGAGCGCAACAGTCAAGTTCTGGAAGTAAAAAAAAATCCTATTAATTTTCTCCATAGAGTAAACTGATTTTTAACAATAACTTATAAGCCATTGAAGACAGACCTACTAGGTGCTACTATCCCTATTCTCTCAAACTTCTTAAATATTCAATATTATATTTCTCCATCGTTTTTAATCATTATATCAACTCTTAATGGGATTGAAGTACGATTTTCAAATACTTTTTTCTTCAAACCAAATGCTGTGATTCACCTCGCAGCTGGTTTGTTTGGTTCATAGCTTATAACTCGAACAAAGTATGGAAAGCCGTTGTAACATTTAATCTATAAGCCGTACTAGTATCTATTTTCATGGTACTAGTACCTATTTTTTAGATACTAGTATCTTTTCCATTAAGTACTAGTACTTATTCATTAGGTACTAGTGCTTATTCTTTAGCTACTAGTGCTTATTCTTTAGGTACTAGTGTTTATTCTTTAGGTACTAGTGTCTTTTGTAAAGTTACTAGTACTTATTCATTAGATACTAGTACTTATTCATTAGATACTAGTACTTATTCATTAGATACTAGTACTTATTCATTAGATACTAGTACTTATTGATTACATACTAGTACTTATTTATTAGATACTAGTACTTATTCATTAGATACTAGTACTTATTCAATAGATACTAGTACTTATTTCAATAGTGACTAGTAACTATTATATTGTTACTAGTAAAAAAAATTTAATTTTTGCCATTTACTTCTATGGGGATCCGTCATTGAGATATCAACTATTCAGTTTTGACTAGTATGTATTCCACTAGTGACTAGTACTTAATTTTTATGCACTAGTAGTTATTCATTAGGTACTAGTACATATTTTTTAGATACTAGTACTCATTCATTAGATACTAGTACCTATTAAATAGACACTAGTACTTATTCATCAGGTACTAGTACTTATTATTAGATACTAGTACTTGTCCATTAGATACTAGTACTTATTTTTTAGATACTAGTACTTATTTATTAGATACTAGTACTTATTCATTATGTACTAGTGCTTATTTATTAGAAACTAGTACTCATTCATTAGATACTAGTACCTATTAAATAGATACTAGTACTTATTCAATAGATACTAGTACACATTTATTAGATACTAGTACTTATTCGAAATGTTACTAGTATAATTTTTTATTTTACTAGTACATTTTTTAATTGAACTCTACTGTAGCCATTTGGACTAGTCATAACATAAGACAAGTAAAAAAGCAGATCTGACTAGTAAGATAAGAATTGTTACTAGTAGTAATTACAAAAGATACTAGTGTCTAATAAATAAGTACTAGTACCTAATGAATAACTACTAGTATCTATTAAATAGGTACTAGTATCTAATGAATAAGTACCAGTATCTAAAAAATAAGTACTAGTATCTAATGAATGCTTACTAGTAATATTTAAATAGATACTAGTCACTATTGCAATAATTACTAGTCAGAAATTAAAAGATGATATCAAAAACAAAATAACTACTTCTCCTTGTTCATTTGGAGATATCTTCAACCTCATAAAGAACTAGTGAGAATGTATTTGGAGATATCTTCATTTAAACAGATCATTACATAAACATGAGTACCTCTCCACCGTTCAATCAGAGTCCACATGGTAATACAATACATTAATATGCAGAAATAATTTGATTGTTAAGTAAGGCTAACTGGCTTTGAATGTTAGCCTATCTTGCTAATTGGTTACCA